TCTCGGTACGTTTAAGTTGTGCATCCAGAACTTGTCTCGAATTCTTTTTCCAGTCCCGAGTTGCAGCTACTGTATATACCACATGCAAATGCAATCTCCTCAAGGAAAAAAAGGGAAAACACTACATGGAATAAATAAAAGTTGTTAGACAGAGGAAGTTTTTATTTATATTTATACCTCATGCATATTGGCAGTCAAATAAAAAATATCCATGGGGATGCTTGCATGCATATGTGCTTTGTGTTTCCAGAAAAAAGCACATAGGAAGCTCAAGGTTTGGCAAGAGCTGCTTCAGGGCCACAAGAAAGCCAGCAAGGCAATTGTGGAAACCAGAAAGTGGTGGGACCGTTAACAAGTCGCAGGGGCAGACTATCCCTAACGTCGGGGTATACTTGCCGGAACCAGTGTTCTCGCACGGCCAATTGTATGTGGCGCTATCAAGAGCTACGGCAAGATCGAACATTAGGATCCTAGCCGTGCCGGCTGCTGAGAAGGACGTGAACAAGGGGAAAGAAAAAGGGAAAGGGAAGGGGAAGAAGAAAGCGATAAAGGATATATTCACAAAGAATATCGTATATAAAGAGGTTCTAACTCCATAAAAGAGGTAATGCATCACACGTCGATACATATTTTTTTTAGATATCAAATGGTACTTTAACTTTAAAAATTAACAAATAACTTATATGCAAGATACTTCTAACTACAGCTTCAGCCATTTGCATGCTTTAGCTACAAGAAGTCAGACGCCGCATCTTAGACTAGAAAATCTTCTGGATCATCATTGATTGTTGACCAACTACAGCTTGGTATTCATGCAAAGCACGTTCTCTTAGTCGAACTATTGAGAGATTAGATTCTTAATTGTAGAATAGATTCTAAAACATGTATTGTGAAACATAAACTTGTTATGATTATCTTTTCGTAGCACTTGATTCCTAAAGAAGTGCAAGCTTATCTTTCGCGTATTGTAGACATGAAGTGATGCGACAATTGAAATTGATGTTTTAGTTTTACATTCAAATTTAGAGTTATATTTTAACTATCTATCTTTCGTGAAGACTTATGTAATACTGATTGAAACATTATGATTACGGTATCTATTTTAGATAACAGTATAACACACGCTCATACATATGTTATCGTGGTATTATGTGTTCCCGTTGCAGCGCACGGGCATTTACCTAGTAGCCAATGTAATAGTAGCTAATGTAACATATGTAACATTCCGGAACATGCATACGAAGCAATTGAAACACATGAAAAACATACTTGCAACATATGCTTCCTACGCAACATCACCTTTATGCTTGGGCAAGTGGAGGCTCACCGGCATGCGGAGCTCGATGGTGGCAGCGGGTGAGTGGATGCTCGTTGATGCGGTAGCAGCGCGCCGAGCTCGCTGGCATGGCGGCGGCACGCGGAGCTTCTCCCCTCGTCTATTTGCTGGAAGCGTCTGTCGTGGAGGTCGGCAGCGGCGGCACGCATGTGGAGTTTGCCGACGGTGATGCGAGCGGAGCTCGCCAGCGCAGCCGGCGCAACCTCCGCCCCCGGTTTTCACATCAAGCTTGTCACAGGTGGCCTATTTCTCCCCGTGTCACAGATATGGGCTGTTTCTCTCCATGCTTCAAAAGAAAAGAATGGATCTGAGTGCGTGGGGAATGAGTGTCCGTGACGGATGCCCGAGGCATATCATTATCGTGTGTGTGTGTGTGTGTGTGTATATATATATATATATATATATATATATCTTTCCACCTCCAACTGCTTCTATATATCTTGTACGTATTTCAAAGAGTTAGCTCCGTTCTCTATTTTTGGCTAGCGAGAAACAAGAATGGAGAATGGCAATATTTAAAGATGTGATTAAAGAAACCGTTGGAAGACTATTTTTCATCAAAATCTCTATTTACATCAACTAACACGAAGGATACGAGGAGTCTTTTAGAGTTGCTCTTGCGGATATTTGAATAAATCCGTTCTAAATTATAGTTCATTTGCCTTTTTTTACCCCTAGTTTGACCACTCGTCTTATTCAAAAATTTATGCTAAATATTACTTCTTTTGTTGCGGCTTGCTTTATTAACAAAAGTTCTTCAAAAATGACTTAAATTTGACTATGTTTGCATAAATTTTTTGAATAAGATGAGCGGTCAAACTTAGGATCAGAAAGTCAAACGAATTATAATTTGGAACGGAGGGAGCAGGAAAAAAAAGGAGTAGCGCTGCCTTGTATGAAACAGAAAGAAAAAAAAATAGCCGCCATGGGTACCAGTAGCAGATGATGCTTAAAATGGTTTTTTCGTTGTTCCGTATAAACAATTATGGAATTCAGCTTATTTATCCCAGCGCCTAGTCAACTGCAGAGTAGGTAGAGGGGCAAGCACGGAGGTCTCAGTTACTGTCTGAACATCCATGATGCTATCAGACTTGATCCACCACTTTATTCCACCCGCATGTCTGTGCTCTACTGCATGCGCCCCGGCTGCTTCTTCGAAAACGTTTTGACTATGACCCCTTCAGGTTTTTAATCAGAAATTCACAGTCTCTGAATCGGACGTGCAAAACCAGCGGTGAATTCGACCTGTAAAATACAGGCGCCCGAGAAGTTGTGCAGCCCTAGACTAGTTTTACCGGCATGTCAAAATAGGTTTCTAGGGTAGAAAAATGAAGGAAGCTTCACCGGCACTTCACCCGTGTCATTGTCGCCGTCTGGACACTATAGGCAAACAAAACAACACTTATCCTGAAACCATGGCCATCGTAAAGCCCATTTTACCGTCGATCAACAAAGCAACCATTTGCCTTTTTCAAGAAAAAGATAAGACAAACAACCGTTTGAAAGCATCATCAAAATTCCAAATTATAGTGGATCGGATTGTCAGGCGGTGACGGTTTCTTTAAGGCACACGTGGGCCCTCGGTGCTCCGTCAGACACGTCCCCGCTGTCTGACGTGTCAGTGTCTTGAGCTCAGCAACTTTGGACAAGAAGAAAAAGAAAACAAGACCAAGAATGGCCCAGCCGCCGCCTAGCCTCCACGTCCAGGTCGCTGTAGGAAAAGAAGAAGGGAAAAAAAAACGAGGACGACGACGACTAGGAATGTAGCAAAGACGCCCAGCCGCCTAGCCTTTTTCTGCCGATTCGACCTTGGGATGGGAAAGGCTCGGAGGGGAGGAAAAAGAAACTGGGCCAGCAGCCTGTCATGGCCATGCCACATATGGGGATGGGCGGGCGGCGGGCTGAAAGGACGGACAACGGCACTCTTGTGCTTGCGACGAAAGGGCTTGGTTAGGCCCAGTTCCACTGGATGCGAAATACAGTAGTGGGCTACTGGGCCAAAGAGTCCGAGGAACAGCCGGCAAGCCCGCGGGCCCTCAGGGATTAACACTCTCCCATTCAGCACGGTGACTGAGGCCCAGCCGGGCGGTGCATACGAGTCAAGCTGGGCCACCCTAAGAACCCTGAATCTGGAGCTATAAACTAAAGTGAACCAGCGTGATCTTATTGTCATTTTTTTTGCTTAAGTCTAAATGGTTGAAGCGACTATATAACTATGGGCACGTTTAGAAGGGCTCCTGCGCGTTCGCGAAAAAAAAGCTTAGCTTTGTAGGTTGCTAGTGCTACTTGCGTATAACATGCCAAAATAGCCGAGCTGGAAAGTAAAATATTATTTTCTATGTAATTCTAATGATATAATTGAAAGTATATTTATAAAGCAACTCGCATTTGCTATTTTGGATCGAATAATATGCTTAGCATTTTGGAAAAAAAGGGCCAATACAAACATACATTAAGATTTGCTGAACAACTTCTGAATTGGTGTCTTGAGCGTATATTGTTGCATGCGTTGGCATTTCCAGAAGGGCAACCAAAAAAAATCTAAACCAAATTAGAGTAGAAACTAGTGATTTACGGATTATGGACTTCAAAATATGTAAATTTGGAAGGAAGAAAACAGAGTCATAGGCACAAAAAGGAAGAGAGTATAACATTCTTCCTCAAGATCTCCTTTCATAGGAAAATGAGAAAGTGGAAGCTTTGCGTATGTGCATCTAATAATGCAAGCTGGGCTCCTACAAGAATACAAGATTGAATTTATGTACCGCATTTAGACTCCGTTTAGCACAGCCCTAACTTCTTACTGCAGTTCACGAAAACTAGAGCAAGGGAAACCAAAAATAGCAGTTTGCCAATGATAACATGCCATTCGCTTGAACTATCAGCTTGGCTTATCAGCTATAGTACAATATTTTTCTCTCACAACAAATTAGCTTCAGCCGGTTTATCAGCCAACAGCCGCAGCATAATATATTCTTACATTATATAGAGCCAGAGTTGGCTAGAGCTCCACAAATGAGGTTTTATTAGCATGAGGTTTCGCAGACATTCAAAGCCAGTGAACATTTTATTTTATTTTATTCTATCGTGAAACATTCATCAATTGTTATAATTGTCTTTTAAGACAAGCTTTTTGATTACATGAGGCCGTGACCTGTGGGCCATGAGTCTCAGAGGTAGAGAAACAGCGGTTGGAGAGTTCCTCAACTTGCTCTGGCTGCGGCCGTCGGCTCTGAGGAGACGCGCAGGGCCGCCTCCGCATGGCGCATGTCTCGGCCATGCTCGAGGCACGGCTACTTGGAGAATGGAGACTCGGAGACGGCTGCTACATATACCCTAGTCTCGACAGCAAAAATGGACGAGGGACAGAGGGAGGAAAGGGGGATCGGAGCTGGGTGGTTATGGACTTGTGGTCATGTAGCCGGGGCCCTCTGGATAAAGGTTGCGGCGAAAGCACAGCTGCACAGGTGACAGCAGAAAAGGGACACAAGTGAACACCGCCATGATGAAGCATAATTATTTTCCGCTGCACAAGTTTTCAGTCAGATATACATCCATCCACCGAAACGGAGCAGAACAAAGATTGAAAGAATTGTGAGGCCAAGAATATCATCAGCCGGTCGATCGAGAGGAAACCACCACCTAGGCGAGGTTCATTTCCTGCCTAAATCTGGGGCAAATTCTGCATGTCGCTGGCCTGCATGAACAGCTTGAGCCAGAAGTCCATGTCGTCCTCGTTGGTCGACGGCGCCGACGACGACGCGCCGAAGGTGCTGCCCTCTGCCTGCATCCCGGAGTTGTCGGAGCTGTCCACCGTCATCGCCAGCGTCTCGGACCAGAAGCTGTCGTCAATCTGGTAGTCCTCCTCCTCCGAGGTGAAGCTGTCCGCGTTCTCCATCGACGAGGCCGCCGCCGAGTAGTCAGTGGTGGTGCTGGTGGTCGACGTGGACAGTGACTGCTCCGGCGACACCGGCACTACGGCGCCGGTCGTCGGGCCCTCGAGCGTCGTCGGCACGGCCTCCGGCTGCTGCTGCTGCTGCTTGGGCTTGCGCTTGCGCTTGGGCGCCTGGCTGGCTGGCTTAGTAGGCTCCAGGCGCTTCTTGAGGTGAGTGTGCCAGACGTTCTTGATCTCGTTGTCCGTCCTCCCCGGCAGCCTGGCAGCAATTGCCGACCATCTGAAAATCACACACAAATGAGCTGTTTAGTGCGCATGCTCTTTGATTTCTCGCCGTAATTCACGAGACAACAAGTGGCTGATTGGGGCATCAAGATAGCTAAGCACCTGTTGCCGAGCATTTGGCGGAGCTGGATGATGGCGTCCTCCTCTTCCTGGCTGAAGTTGCCGCGCTTGATGTCCGGGCGCAGGTAGTTGATCCAGCGGAGGCGGCAGCTCTTGCCGCAGCGGAGCATGTAGAAAGGAGATGACCAACTGGATGATTGTATTGATCAACAGTGGTGTACATATATATGTTACAATGGTGGCCTTCGGCCACTGCTATACAGGCGAGCGGCAGCGCGCACTACGCGGGAGCGTGGGCGCCGTGAAGACCGGGCGCGCAGGCGAACGCGCTGGTGCGCGGCGAGTGCGGGCGCTGGACGTTGGCGACGCTGAAGACTCGGACTCTAGCCGTTGGTGAAGTCAGTCCGCTGACACCCCCCCTCAGTCTGGACATCGCCATTCGTGATGGAGAGACTGTTCCTGAAGTCAAAGAAGAGCGCCGAAGGCAGTCCCTTGGTGAAGATGTCCGCCAGCTGCCGTGCGCTGGGGACATGAGTGACGCGAAGCTCGCCAATGGCCACCTTCTCTCGTACAAAATGTATGTCGAGCTCGATGTGTTTGGTACGCCGGTGATGTACGGGATTCCGAGACATGTATACCGACGATATGTTGTCGCAGAAAGCCACCGTCGCCGAGGGAACGGTGTACAACAGCTCGCCGAGGAGTTGTCGGAGCCAAGAGCACTCCGAAACGGCGTTAGCGATGGCTCGATACTCCGCCTCGGCGCTCGATCTCGAAACCGTGGTTTGACGCTTGGACGACCACGAGATGAGAGAGGATCCGAGGAAGACGCAGAAGCCCGACGTAGAGCGTCTGGTGTCCGGGCATCCGGCCCAGTCAGCATCTGAATAGGCGCTGATCGTCGGTGAAGATATGGCGCGCAGCTGGACGCCGAGGCTGACGGTGCCCTTGACATACCGTAGTATCCGCTTCAGCATGGTTAGGTGCACATCACGCGGCGCATGCATGTGTAGACACACCTGTTGTACGGCATACGCAATATCCGGACGTGTGATTGTCAGGTATTGCAATGCCCCAGCAAGGCTCCGGTAGGAGGTGACGTCGTCGAGGAGCTTGCCGTCTTGTGTAGATGCCTTGCCCTTTGTGTCCGCCGGAGTGGAGACTGGCTTGCAGGTCGCCATCCCAGCGCGCTCAAGGAGATCCTCAGCGTACTGGGTTTGGGAGAGGAAGAAGCCGATGCGTGTCCGTCGAACGCCGATGCCGAGGAAGTGATGTACCGGACCCATGTCCTTGACAGCGAAGGCATCGTGCAGCCGCTTGATGATCTGTCGAAGCAGGGCGGTCGATGAAGCGGATAGGATCATGTCGTCGACGTAAGAGTAGCAGATATGCAGTGGCGCCGTTCCGGTTGTACACGAAGAGGGACGTGTCGGCCCTCGACTGTACAAAGCCCAGGGAGGTGACGTGCTCGACGAAGCGGTTGAACCACGCACGCGGAGCTTGCCGTAGGCCGTAGAGCGAACGGGACAGCAAGCAGACGTTGTCGGGCCGTGCAGGGTTGACGAAGCCGGTCGGTTGTTGGCTGTAGACGCGTTCCTGAAGGTTGCCGTGGAGGAAGGCGTTGGAGACATCGAGCTGATGAGCCGGCCAATTGTTGGTGGCGACGATGGTGAGCACGGTGCGTATGGTTGCAGGTTTGATCACGGGCGAGAAGGTCTCCCCGAAGTCGATGCCGGGACGTTGATTGAACCCACGTACGACCCATCGAGCCTTGTAGCGCTCAAGTGTGCCGTCGGGGTTCAATTTGTGCTTGAACACCCACTTGCCGGAGATGACGCGTGCTCCCGGAGGACGAGGCACGAGGGTCCAGGTTCTGTTGGCCTGCAATGCATCAAACTCATGTTTCATCGCAGCGTACCAGCAAGGGTCCTTGACGGCAGCGCGCACACTCCGCGGTATCGGTGAGATGGTCTCCGTGGTTGCCAATGCATACTTCGGGTTGGGTTTGGAGATCCCAGCCTGTGCTCGAGTGATCATTGGATGCCTTGGCGGTGCGGCGACGGGCGACGCAGCGCTGGATGACGTCGTCGTTGGCGAGGAAGTATGTGGCGCAGCTACGGAGCCGGTAGAGCCCGGTGGCGTGGATGGTCCGGCATCAGCTGTTACGGCAGGTGCATGTCCCAGTCGTGCTGATCGTGCACTAGTGGGGTGAGGTTGTAGCTCGTGCACTAGGCGCGTGGCAGACGGCGCTGGTGGCGTTGGGCGCGTCGAGTCATCGTCGATGTCGGGCGACGGCGGGCGCGCGTCAGGCGGCAGGTCGGTGGTGCCAGTTGTGTCATTGCGGAAGGGCAAGACGTCCTCGTCGAACACGACATGCCGCGACGTGATGACGCGGCCGGTGGCGATGTTGTAGCATCGGTAACCGCGGTGATCTGCAGGGTAACCAATGAACATGCACGGCGTCGAGCGCGGCGCGAGTTTGTGCGGGGAGGTAGCGATCATGTTGGGGAAGCACCGGCAGCCGAAGACGCGAAGCTCGTCGTAGTTGGGCGCCACTCCAAACAGCATAGCATATGGCGTTGTGGAGGCAGTGGCGCGGCACGGCCGTCGGTTGATCAGGTACGTGGCCGTCGCAAGAGCTTCAGCCCAGAACGCCAATGGAGCTGCACTGTGGATTAGCATGGTACGCAAACAATCGTTAACAGTGCGAAGAATCCTCTCGGCTTTCCCGTTCTGCTGGGAGGTATATGGGCAAGATAGACGGAGCTGAGTGCCAAGAGAGGAGAGGAGGAGGCGCATGGCAGTAGAGTCATACTCGCGGCCATTGTCGGTTTGGAAAGCAAGTATGGGGAGGTTGAATTGAGTATGCACGTAAGCGATGAAAGCTCGGATGGTAGGAAAAACATCAGATTTATTACGTAGAGGGATAGTCCAAAGGTAGTGAGTATAGTCATCAAGAAAAACGACATAATACTTATAACCAGAATGACTGAAAACAGGAGACGTCCAAACATCCGAGTGAACAAGTTGAAAGGGAAAGTATGTTTGCGATACAGATGCAGTAAATGGTAAACGTGTATGCTTGCCTAAACGGCATGAAGAACATGAGTGTGCATCAGCTTTATTACATTGGAAGGAAAAAGACTGTAAAATCTGAGAAGTGGCTGGGTGCCCCGGGTGCCCCAGTCGCTGATGCCACAAGAGTGTCTCTGATGAAGCACTGAATGCTTGATGTGGTGAAGATCGGAGAGGATAGAGGTCGCCATGGCTCTCACATCGGAGCATCTCCGCCCTGGAAGGAAGAGCCTTGATGGAAAAACCAGAAGGGTCAAATTCGACTGAAACGTTATTATCACGAGTAAGGCGACGAACTGAAATCAAATTTTTAATAAGAGATGGAGAAACAAGAACGTCATTCAATCGGAGAGGGGAAGTGGCAGTGGGAATGAATGTCTGTGCTCGGTGGGTGACAGGCAGCCGAGCACCATTGCCCACTGTGATGGAAGAAGAGGAAGATTGAAGTGAAGAGTTGGGAAAAATACCAGGAGAGGACGACATGTGTGACGTCGCGCCAGTGTCAAAATACCAGTCGGAGTTGCTCGTCGGGTGATGGGGAACACCAGAGGATTGCAGTGCGGCGTATAGCGCACTGTTGTCGAAGACGCCAACAGGTGCAGATGTGTGCTGGTGATGCGCCGTCATCGCCTGGTTGTGCTGGAACGGTGGACGGGGGCCCAAAACACCAGCGCCGGGGGCTCGGAAGGGCATTGGCCAGGCCTGCACCATGCCCTGCCAAGGGTTGTAGCCAGCTGCCCATTGCCCGGACTGAGTGTTGGAGACGCTGTAGTTGTTGGATCGGGATCCGCCGCCGCCGCCGCCGGCGTTGTTGCCGTTCCCGCGTCCGCGGCGGCGATCGCGGTTGTTGTTGCGGGAGTAGGTGCCGCCGTTGTTGTAGCGGTTGTCACGACGAGGCGCGCCGGAGGAAGAGGAGCCGTCTTTAGTGCCAGTGGACGCCGAGGATGTGCCGCTGCCGGAGTTGTCACCATGCGCCGCGACCAAGGCCTGAGTGGCTTCGACGGCGGCGTCATGTTGAGCGCTGACTTCCTCAAGCAGAAGGAACGATCGAGCGCTCTGGAAGGTATGTGGTGGGAATTTAGATGTAATCACCGGCTTGACGTAGCGGTACTTCGGATTAAGCCCTCGAAGAAGATTGAGGACTTGACTGGGCTCGGAGACGGGGTGGCCGATGTCGTCGAGTTGATCGGCGAGCCGTTTCAGCTTGGTGCAGTAGTCATTGATCGACGAGTCACCTTGCTGCAGAGAACGCAGCTCGGCCTCGAGATACACCGCGCGTTGGAGCTCATTGTCTTGGAAGAGGTTGGCGATGGCGTTCCATAGGGAGAAGGCGTCGGTGTGGTCGCGACGAATGATGTCGAAGACGCCTTTGGACACCGTGGTGAGGATCCAGTTGGCGACGCAGGAATCCACCATGCGCCACTCGCCATCGCGATCGGCAGACGGGGTCAGAGAACGGACATGGCTGGTCAAGCCGAACTTGCCGAGCGTGGATGTGAAGAAGCAGCGCCACTGTCCATAGTTGCCCTCTTCCAGATCGAGGACGACCGGGACATGATGACGAATGGAGAGGCCTTGGATGGCAGAGGCAGCCGCCGGGACGAGCTCATCGTCGGAGGAGGAAGATTCGGAGTGGTGGGAAGAGGGCGACATTGGTGCAAGAAGAGGAGCGGAAGGTTTTCTGTAGGATCGAAGAAGCTGATACCATGTAGAAAGGAGATGACCAACTGGATGATTGTATTGATCAACAGTGGTGTACATATATATGTTACAATGGTGGCCTTCGCCATCGCTATACTGAGCGAAGCGGCAGCACCTGACTGTGGGAGCGTGGCGCCAGAAGACCGGCGCGCAGCGAAC